TGCGGCAGAGGGCAGCGCGTGGCGCGGTACGTGCGGGAAGCTGGCTCGTCTGCTGCCGTTCATCTGGCCGCGCCGTGACGTGGGTCTCCAGCTGATCGTCATCTTCTGCATGGCGCTTCTCGTCGGCACGCGCGTCATAAACGTCTACGTGCCGCTCTACTACAAGTACATCGGTGAGTGGTGGGGGTAAAGACACCTGCGAGTAGTTCGTGAGAGGCGGTAGATGCACCTACAACAAGTTCATCGGTAATTGCCGCTCTCCTGGCCTTGAGTATTGCTGCCTGATGCTTGAGTAGGAGTATTATACTACTGCGAACACATAGTATATGCTGCTCCGTTATTGCCAAGCAGATGCTACTCGGTGCTGCAACAGGTGTAGATCGAGGAGCGTCGCTGGTTCATTTACGCGTCGGTAGATGCAGCTCCCGCGCGAAGGCAGCACCCAGAGCTGCGCTTAGCTGTGGTGAATTTCCAGATATTGGCGTGTGGGTAACGCTCAAATCGGTATACAACTGACAGACATGACCAAATGGAGTGGTTAGTGCTGCTGTTGTAAGTGGGAATCACCGGACACCTATCTTCCGCAAATGCGCAGCGAGCATTGCTCTTCCTCTTACATACCTACCAGGCTCGGCGAGTGCTGAACTACAGCACAACTGCGTGTTTATCAGTCAGGCAGCGAGCGTCGTCAGTCGTTCAGGCGGGTTTGGGAAAGATTGACACAACTCTAGGGCGTGATGCATCGGACTTTTGAGGCTTTTTGACGTGCTGATCTACCCGGCGTTCGGTCTGTGACCACCAGCGCCGCTTTACGATGCACAAGTGTACAGCGTCTGTGTTCAGATTGCCATGTGGACTGCCGCCGGGATAGGTGCCTCTGGTCTGGTGGTCTTCCTTGGTCTAGTGGCCTTCCTCGTGGCCTGACGCTCCCGCGGGTGGTCGGACGCTTTTCCGTGTAATGCAACGCTTTTTGCGTGCTCGGACCGCCGTGCAATCTAACGCTCTCCCGTGCGGGCCGCTCCCACGTGGTGTCATCTGACGCCCTCCCGCGTGATCCGATCTCCGGGTAATATGACGCCCTCTGGTGTCGGGCAGTGGACGGCCTGACGGAGACGGCCGGTCACCCGCGGCCCGTCTTCCTCTGGCAAGACATTCTGGTGTACGTCGGTCTCAAGTTCCTCCAGGGTGGCGGCGTCGGCAGCATGGGCGCCCTCAACAACCTGCGCGGCCTGCTCTGGATCAAGGTGCTGCAGTACACCGAGCGCGAGGTCCAGGTAAGAGCCTCACACTGGGACGGACGGGGCGCGGCGGCTGGGGCGGACGCCCGTGCTGCCGGCGTCAGCGGCTATCACATCACCCGTCATGGGCATGCATGTGGCCGTGATCACGTCAGAGGCACTGGGGGTAGTGCATGGCCTGACGCGTGTATCTCGAGCTTACTATTCCCTTTCACCGCTGTGAAGGAAGCGTGTTGTTGGCGGGTGTCTGATTCGTGGGCTGGAACAGTGGAGGGCGCGCCGCTGCGCTGGCTGACTGGTGCGTCCTGTGTCACAGGTGGACCTGTTCGCGCACCTGCACCAGCTGAGCCTGCGCTGGTGCACCTGAGAGCGAAGACGGGCGAGTGCTGCGCGTCATGACCGAGGCACCTCATCCATCAATCGCTGCTCAGCTATCTGGTCTTCCAGATCCTGCCCACCGTGGCCGCATCACCATACGCCATCACGTTCTTCAGCGCCGCCTTCAACGCTGGTTCGGCCTCCTCGTCTTCATCACGATGCTGCTCTATATGGGTGCGCTTCTACAACTGCCGGGCGGGATGAACTTTGCTCTTACTGGCTCAGTGGGATTGTCAAGTGGTCTGTTTGCCGCGCGTTTAGCGACCACCGGTTCGGAGAAAGCTGGCGAATTGGCGATATTGAACTGTAAATGATGAGCTTACCCAACAAACAAACGACACTGTTCATGACGCTTGTTTAATGGCTGTCAGATTGGGCTTCAGTGACCGGTGTGGTCCGGAGAAAGCTGGAGATATTGAAATGTAAATGATGAGGCTTTCCAAACGAAGCAATGGCACTGTTCATGACGCTTGTTTAATGGGCAGCTGTCAGACTGTGCTCGAGCGATCACTCAGCCCGAGCAGGATCCTTGACAGCTGCGGTGGGTCCTTTGCGCCGTCGCGATATCTGGGGACGCCTGCCGGCACCTCTGCAACCACAAGTTCGTGGGCCTGCCACCAGTGTCGCGGCCGTTATCACGATGGCGCACCAAGTACCGGCGCCAGAGCAACCTGCTGGACAACGCACAGCGCACCAAGGGCGTGGACTCGCTGCTAAACTACGAGACTGTCCAAGTACTTACTGACACGCGAGGATACGAGGTCAACCTGTACCGAGAACGCATACTGGAGCGCCAGGCAAGTCGGGTGGGCGGCGCTGGGCGCTGGTGAGGCCGGGGTCTGGCGCGACGGACGCTGGCCTCCTCAGACCCTTTCGGCGGGTGTCAGCAGCTTGGAGACGTCCAGAGAGAGTGTCGCGTCGGGGTTTGCTAAGAGCCAAACTGGCCTGCTGAGAGGGCGGTGTTCGGGTGGATGTCAGCGACGTACAGAGCCCTTCGCGTTAGCTGTGAGGGAAGCCTATGATGCTGGGCTTGGGCTTGTCTGGCCGCGATCACAAGAAGATCCGGACAGTTTTATGCTGTTTGTGTGCTGATCGTCCCGTCCCGACGACGGCGAAAGCCTTGCTGGCCTCTTGCCTCCTCCGGCCCTCCGCGGAGTACCGCTGCAGTCCTACCGGCTGCAGTCCGACCGGCGTCAGTCCGATCGCTGCAGTCCTACCGGCTGCAGTCCGACCAGGCGTCAGTCCCAACCGGCTGCAGTCCGACCGGCTGCAGTCCGACCGGCTGCAGTCCGACCGGCGGCAGTCCGACCGGCGGCAGTCCGACCGGCGGCAGTCCGACCGGCTGCAGTCCGACCGGCTGCAGCCTGACCGGCGGCAGTCCGATCGGCTGCAGTCCGACCGGCTGCAGTCCGACCGGCTGCAGTCCGACCGGCTGCAGTCCGACCGGCTGCAGTCCGACCGGGTACGCTTCGGCCGCCGCGGGCCGATGGCGTCTAACATCGTTTGCTCCTCCTCAGCGGGTGGACTGGAAGTCACTGGCGTCGCTGAACCTGCTGAACGTGGTGCAGAACGTAGTGATCAACGGCGGCCTGCTGGCCGGCTCGCTACTCTGCGCCTACTTCGTCGCCGACAACGGCACCCTCACCGTCGGCGACTACGTGCTCTTCTCCACCTACATCGTGCAGCTGTACGCGCCGCTCAACTGGTTCGGCACCTACTACCGGTGCGTGGCGGAGGCGGGCCTGGTGGCCGTGCCGCCGGTGGACGATGGCCAGCGCGTGTTCGTCATGGTCTCGTGGTGTGGTGGGACGGGATTATCGCGTTGCCGCGACGAGCCAGCTCGGCGTGGGGTCGGTAATTCCCTGCAGTGGGCGGGACGAGTCTGATCACCTGCCGCACGGGCATTGCTTCGTTTCTTGACCGTGACAGCTGTGGCTGCTGTTCGTTTGCGCAGCTTTTCAACCGGTGGAGAACACGACTCTGCGGGCTGTCGACCTCGGTCGCCGTCACTCTTCGGGCCTCGCAGCGCTATATCCCGCCACGGCCCCTCGCGGGATACCCGGCCAAAGGGGCGGAAGCGACTGGTATTCTGCCGTGCGGCTGGTTTTGAGTTAGAATGCCCAATTCCCAACTTGCGAGGGACCAGCGCGCCTGGATAGCCACGGCTGTGTACGTCCGTCGCGGTCAGCTGTCGGCCCAGGCCAGCATCACGCCCCCGGCGCCGTCCCGCCGCAGGATGATCCAGCAGAACTTCATCGACATGGAGAACATGCTGGACCTGCTGAAGGAGGAGGAGGGAGATCAGCGACCTGCCGGGCGTGCCGCCGCTGACCGTTGCGCGAAGGTCGCCTTGAGTTCCGTAACGTCTCCTTCCACTACCAGCCGGAGAAGCCGATACTGCGCGGCGTGTCGTTCTGCGTCGAGCCTGGCGCCACCGTCGCCCTGGTGAGGGGCGTGGGTGAGGGGTCGGAGGAGCGGGGGCGCTGATATGGGACGGGGAGAGCATGTGGGCGCTGTTGAAGGACGGAGAGCACGGGGGGCGCTGATGAGGGCAGACCCTATGCTCTGGCTTTGTCGCGCGTCTTCATCTAGGAGAGTTGTGAGCGGGTGATGGTGCTGTATGCTGGCGCCAGTCGTGCATGGCTGCGCGCTGGGGGGGACGGCCTGCGCGGCTCCGTCCCGCTCAGCCGCTCCTCCTCCAAGCCGTCCGGCGGCCGCCGCCGTCAGCTGAAACTGTGGTAGCCGGAGAGCGGAGCCGGCGGCACCGACGCCTGGCTCTGCCGCTCCCAGCCGACCCGACCTGCCGTCCCGGGGTCTGACCTGCCGTCCCGGGGCTTGATCTGCCGTTGCCCGACCCAAGGGGAGATTGGGGACCGTCCCCTCCAGTGAGGGTGGCGATCACTCCTGGTGCCAAAGGTCCAGTACGTCATGGCAATTTATGGCGCCCATATAGCTCCTAAAATGTCGAATGTGGGCCTGCAGCATCCAAATGGGTTCCCAAGCCTTAAAAGGCCCTCCGAGTGAAAATTAGGGTCCCCTTAGTTCAAAGAGGGGCCCATTGGCGGAAAGGGCGTCCTGTGACCTTCTTTGGCCCTTCTTTGGCGGGGGTAAGCTCGGCTAGGCCGCTGGCCTGACCTGACCGACCCTGACCTGACCTGACCTGACCTGACCTGACCTGACCCGACCGTCGCTTACTTCACCGTGCGCTGGGCCAGGTGGGACCGTCGGGCGGCGGCAAGTCGACCGTCATCAGGCTGTTGTTCCGCTTCTTCGACGTGACCGACGGCCGCATCATGCTGGACAACCAGGACCTGAAGTGGGTGCAGCAGCGCACGGTGCGGCGCGCGATCGGCGTCGTACCGCAGGACACCGTGCTCTTCAACGACACGATCAGGTGAGACGCCGGGCTGGCAGGGCCTCTGGGTCTGGGACACGGTGTACCTTAGTCAGGTCACGATCAGGTGAGACGCCGGACTGGCAGGGGCCTCTTGGTCCGGGACGCGGGTGTACCCTAATCAGGATTGTGATTTACGGCCTGTGTCACCATGCGCGACGAACGGTTATGGGTTGGGTGTAAATGGCCTTGTTTCAATTATGTCAGTTGTTTTCCACGTATTGTTTCCCCACTCGGCCACGGCCAAGGCTTTTGATCAATGCTACACAACAGATGCTGTGTTAATTAAGTGGTACAAACGTAGGCTAATAAGCTAGAGGAGGCAGCACGTCACACATACACATACCAACAGCGGGAATGGGGTCCTTTTAAGTAATGTTAGGCGTCTTAACAGACGCTGGAAAGCTGACTTATTTTATTTTAGTGAAGTAATTCAAACAATGAAATCACATTTTATGTCATCTTGCAGCGTCTGTTAAGGCGTCGGAAATTACCTAGTAATGCAGATGTACCCTGGCGTTGTGCAGGTGTTGTGAGTTCGCATCTCACAGTTCAGCGGTCTTATCTCCATATCAGTCAAACAGTTCCTGCCCCGTCCCATGATGTCGGCTCCTGCCCCTTCCCATGATGTCGGCTCCTGTCCCGCCTCATAATGTCGGCTCCTGCCCCGCCCCATGATGTCGGCGGCGCTGAGCGCGTGCCGCCGCCGACAGGTACAACATCCGCTACGCTCGCATGTCGGCCACGGAGGAGGCAGTGGAGGAGGCGGCGCGCGCCGCCGACATGCACGACAAGATCGTGTCGTTTCCGGACGGGTACGACACTCTGGTGAGTGCGGCTGGACCGGCGCGGGACGCTGAGGTTCGGCCTGGCTGGACGAGCGCCGCCACGGCACGGCGAAACGCTGGGGCCGATGTGCTGGGGATGCTGTTGATGATAATGATGATGTTGATGCACTGAGTCACTGGCCGTCCCGCGGGACGTGATGTCTGCCACCTTCTGTCGCCGTGACAGTACGCACCGAGTGACTCGATCACCGGCGTTCACGCCTGGTCCCTGTGCCGCCCTGTCGCTGTCGTACTTATTTAGGGCTTTGCGTGGCTAGCGTTGACCGCGGTGTGCGTCGACATGGACGTGAGCGTGGGAGCGAGGTCGGGACGCTGTCTGGCAGGGAGGGAGGAGGAGGGAGGGGGAGGGGAGGCTGCACGTGGTGTTCCCGCGTGTAGCCTGTGCTGACCCAGTGTGTCCTGCCCCGTATGAGCAGGTGGGCGAGCGCGGTCTGAAGCTCTCCGGCGGCGAGAAGCAGCGCGTCGCCATCGCGCGCACCCTCCTCAAGGCGCCCAAGTTCATCCTGCTGGACGAGGCCACCAGTGCGCTGGACACTCAGACCGAGCGGAACATCCAGGTCAGGGGTGGAGACGGCCAGGGAGTGGGGAGTCGGGCTCGGAGGAATGGACAGGATGCTTCAGGGAGACGGATCATGCCGTTCTCGGCTGTGCGGCATGGTCTTCTACACTTAACTTTGCATCGTTCGTTTGGCAGTGACTTTGCAACGTTACCTGGCGCTTATCCCGGCTGAAGTATGCTCGGTCTCTCCAGGCGGGCCCCTGGCTAAGTGGCCCTGTTGTTGTCATCGCTGGCTCTGGGAATGTCTTTCCAAGGACAATTCATGCTGTGTTGGTCCCGTGTTCATGTCGTCCATGTCCTGCATCTCGTTGACTTAGTGGATAATCCCCGACGCGCTGGTCCTGCTTCAATGGCGTCTTTATTTCGTGTTTGGTTTTCCGAAGAAACAGTCCCTGGCCTGCCTACTGCCCTCCAGTGGCGATCCTGACCCCGTACTCCAGTTGTTCCGGTCGGCTCCCTGATCTCATCCGCGCCTGTTCCGTTCCCCTGGCCCCGGGTGCGCCCGTCTTTCGGTCCGCGCGGGTGTGGACTCCCGACCTCGTCTGCGCCTGTGCCGTTCCCCTGGCGCCGGCGTGCCCGTCCGTCCGTTGGTGCAGGCGTCGGCCACTGACCCCGTCGCCGCTGCGTCACAGGACTCGCTGCAGCGCGTGTCGGCCGGTCGCACCACCCTGATCGTCGCCCATCGACTGTCGACCATCGCACACGCCGACCAGATCCTGGTGCTCAAGGAGGGGCGCATCATCGAGCGCGGCAGGTGAGGCTGAGGGGCCGCGGGCAGGTGAGGATGAGGGCCGTGGCAGGTGAGGCTGTGGTACTGCGGCAGGTGAGGCTGAGGGGCCGCGGCAGGTGAGGCTGAGGGACTGCGGTAGGTGAGGCTGAGGGACTGCGGCAGGTGGGGCTGGGGCACTGCGGCAGGTGAGGCCGAGTGACTGCGGCAGGTGAGACTGAGGGGCCGCGGCAAGTGAGGCTGAGGGGCCGCGGCAGGTGAGGCTGAGGGACTGCGGCTGGTGAGGCTGAGGGGCCGCGGCAGGTGAGGCTGAGGGACTGCGGCAGGTGAGGCTGAGGGACTGTGGCAGGTGAGGCTGAAGGGCCGCGGCAGGTGAGGCTGAGGGACTGCGGCAGGTAAGGCTGAGGGACCGCGGCAGGTGAGGCTGAGGGACTGCGGCAGGTGAGGCTGAGGGACTGCGGCAGGTGAGGCTGAGGGGCCGCGGCAGGTGAGGCTGAGGGACTGCGGTAGGTGAGGCTGAGGGACTGCGGCAGGTGAGGCTGAAGGGCCGCGGCAGGTGAGGCTGAGGGACTGCGGCAGGTGAGGCTGAGGGACTGCGGCAGGTGGGAGCTGAAGGGCCGCGGCAGGTGAGGCTGAGGGACTGCGGCAGGTGAGGTTGAAGGGCCGTGGCAGGTGAGGCTGAAGGGCCGCGGCAGGTGAGGCTGGGGCACTGCGGCAGGTGAGGCTGAGGGACCGCGGTAGGTGAGGCTGAGGGGCCGCGGCAAGTGAGGCTGAGGGGCCGCGGCAGGTGAGGCTGACTGAGGGGCGGCACTAGGCTGGCGGGCCAGGCGGGTGGAAAAGCGAGGGGTTTGTCCAGGGGTGTGGGATTGCTAAGCGGGGAATAGAAGCAGATCAGTCGGCGGCGACAGAGAAGTGGGGCCAATAACCCGGTTGATATGGGCAGCCGTGGTTCGAGTTACGCTGGGACTCGACCTTGGTCCAAACTTTCGGATCCATGTAAACATCCGTGCGCCGTTCGAAGCGCGCGCCGGCTCAGAGCACTTTACTCATCAGAGGATCATCCGGCCAGGGAGCGATTTGTAGCCCGAGTTGCGAGGGCGTGTCCAGATACCGGTGTGTCGTTACATGTTTCAATGGTTGATGTTTCTGTTTCTCCGTCTCGGCGTCTACATCATTGTGCTGCGTCCACCGCCCCCACCGCATCCATGTGCGCTGTCCCTGCTAGCGCGCCTCTCCCGCTACGCTCCTCCGTCTCTAGCCCACCGTCGGAGTATACCGTCCGGCCTAAATAGGGCCTCCCCTCGGCCGTGTAAACAGCATAAGTGTAGTGCTAGGCGGGAATGGTGGTGGTCCTGCGCTGCCGGGCAGGCGAAGATGGTGGATCGTCAGCATTCGGCCTATTGTTGATACGTTAGGCATTTGCCAGTGCCTTCTCGGGCGCCTGCCTTCCGATTCACCCACCCGTGGCTGGGTGGGGTTCGAGATGCTTTAGGCATCCGCTGTGTTCTTGGTTGGGATTAACGGGGGCCGGTAGCAGCTGCTGAGCCAAAGGTCAAGTGACGTCACAAATCGGGACGGATAGTGCCGAGCATTGCGGCATGGTAAGCTTTTCCTATGGAATTCTACCGTTTACCTGAAATTTTACGGTTTGACGGCGGGGATCAAGACTCATGCAACAAGCATGGCTTAGGCCTGGGGTCTGATCTCAGAAATATGTCCATTCAAAACGTTCGGACTAACTAAGTAAAAAGCTGTTCACCTGTTCTGTGACACCTGGACGACTTCGCATCAGCTGTCTCCACGTTTTTGTCCGTGGTGGAACAGTAATCACGGGGCACACTGGCGTGACATTAGACTTGCGCTGCCCAACTGTCTCTCATGTTCAACATTTGCACCAGCGCTCCGTTTGACCTGCACTGCGGACGGTGACTTGCACACGTTCGTGTATGGTCACCAACACCCCTGTGCCCCCTCGCCTCCATAAGCCGTGAGGTGAGCCTGCATCAGACCGTGAGTCCCCCGCCCGCCTGGGTGCTGTGTCGCTTTTCTTCCGCTCGGGACCGCGCGGCCACTGACCGCGTGCTGCTGCTCCGCAGGCACGACGAGCTGATGGAGAAGAACGGCATGTACGCCGGCATGTGGCGTCAACAGTCCGAGATGGCCGACCGGCGCTCGCGCCGCTCTCCGGACCGGCAGCAGCGCTCCCCGGACCGGCAGCGCCGCGAGTGGGCGCCGTCCGGACCCGCCACCACGGCGGACGGCGCCGCGCCGGCCGCCACCGCCGCCACCGCCGCCACCCGCCGCTGACCTCGTGCTGCCCGGTCGAGCGCGCTCCGGGGAGGAGCGAGCCGCAGACTGGTCCGGCGCGGGAGTCGGGCCGGCGCGCTGGGCTTCACATGGAGCACCGAGGGAGGGAGGGGCAGCCGCTGGTGGTGAGCTCCATGGCCGGCGAGGTGGGCGTGTAGTCGTGCAATAGAGAAGCGTGCGAGAGCGAGAGGCGTCGCCGGAGGGTGCGCCGGTGGGCGCGGGATGCTCCGGGTAGGAAACACAAGGTGGTCGACCGAGAAGCTCTGGATAGGTAACGCAGAATCCCCCCGGTGTCATCTGTGGCGGCCACCTCGCAGAGGTGGCGCCGAACTCAGTCTTTCGCCGTCCGCGGCTCGGACCACGGCTCCGCTGGCCGCGGGCGGCAATGCAGCGCAGCGAGCATCCATGTCTCACGTCAGTGGCTCTGTACATAGCCGCCGGGCTCTGTAATCCACTCAGCTTTAAGGGCGCGCGCCCGCGTGCTGGAGAGCTCCGCAGGGGTCGCCGGCTTCCTCGCGTCACACAGCTGGTCTCAGCCGCCGACAAGTCAGCAACCTAGCTACTCTGCTTGCCATCCCCGCCGCCGCCCGGGAGCGGGGGCAACTACCGCGCAGCCGCATCGTCGGTGCAGTGTCTGGCTGGCCCCGCGCCGGAGCTGGACTGTGCCGAGGGCCGCGAGGGGAGGCAGCCGTACTGTAATCTCACGCCGTGTCTGACGCGTCACGCGCGGAGCTGACCCCGCGTGTGCTCTCCCTGGTCCGGCCGACGCCTGAGGCCGCTGGGATGGTCCTGGGGACGGCACGCTGGCACGGCGGCGTGCTGAGGGCCATTGTGTGGGTGTGGACGACATGGGCTTTTACCGCGCTGTCCGGAACGAGAGGCATTGGGCAGCGCTGGCGTATTTTACTCCTATTGTGTACCTGTAGTGTTGGCGCCGTGTTAGTGTTCTCGCCTGTGGGATGTTCAGTATGTTTGAATGTTCGTTTTAATGTATTGTCAATAAATATTTTGTAATCATGTCACGAGCTCGCCTGTGGGAGGTTCAGTAGTTACAATGTTCGTTTTAATGTATTGTCAATAAAGATTTTGTAATCATGTCCCGAGATTTGGTTTTGGCTCCAAAAGGAGGCTTCCAATGTTATTAGATAGTCGACGTCACGCGCGTTTCGATCTTCGGTTGCCTTGCCGGTGAATGGAATTAATTGCCCGTTCCTAAAAGAACTGTTGCTCCCATTCGGGGAAAGGAGCTCGACAATGTTTTGAACGAAGGGTCAATAACTGGAAGTTTTGTAGGTTTGCTGGCGAATGTTGCCTGGTTAGCGCCCGTATTTCTCGAAACAACTCGTCTCGTGGTGAAGGCCGCCGGAAACGCAACCAACCAACAGATCCCGTGCCGATGAGCTGGTGTGTAAGCAGTATGCATGCGCAGAGGCGAAGATCTGTACGCACATCTCGATTACCAACCTTTAAAAGCAAAGCACACAAACCGTGGCAACTCATGCCCGTGCAGCCGTCGCGCCATGACGACAGTGCCACGTGACTCGACAGTCATGCGCCACGCGCCACCTCAGAACTTGGACAGGTCGAGCCGCTGTATGCGCCGAGAGTTGCAGCTGACCACCGGGTTCAGGCCGAGGACATTGATGGGCTTGATGAAGGCCAGTGGCTGGACGGCGTCAAAGCCACGTCCCACGTTGTCGCACAGCAAGCGAGCCCAGCTGGCCTTGCGTATCTCGCGCAGCTGAGCGGTGGTGAAGCTGCCCCGCTGGCCGGCCTGGTCGTAGAAGAAGCGGTCACCATAGCGGGCGCGCAGGAACTGGTCGGTGATCAGACAGCGCGTCGTGGGGCCGACCAGCGCGCCGGGCGCCGGCCGCTCCGTGTTGATGCCGACAAATAGGTCGATGTCGCGCCAGTGGCGGTAGCTGCGTTTCAGACGGGCCGTATCCGCCGCCGTCATGAGCGACAGCAGGTCGGACCAGCCGGATATTCGAAGGCCGTGACAGCGGGCCGCCACCGTGGCGTAGGTGGGGATGCCGTGGTCGCGACCCCCGCTGGATGTTGAGCGCCATGAGGTCCAGGCCGACGGCGTCCACTTTGAACAGATTGCCGTGGACGGCCTTCGCGAAGGTTGGACCGAACGTTTGTGGCTGCTGGCGCGTGAGGCCACGTGCCATCTCCGTGAACACGTTGGACACCACCAGCGAGTCCGGGCGGAAGAAGTTCTCCTGCAGCTTGAGCCTCTTCCTGATGGAGCCGATTTTGGAGACCAGCTCGATTACGCCCCGCACCATCGAGTGCAGTCGGAAGCCGGCCGTAGAGAACTCATTGCTGACGTCGGGGTTGAGGAACGGCACGTAAGCGCGCGGCCGGAACCCAGTCAGACCGACCGAGTGCGCGTACGCGAAACCGACGATGCTTGGCAGCCACTCGTGGTAGGCGATGTGCTGCCACTGGCCGATCACGATCCGGCGCGCCTCCTGGTACAGAGTCTCGTCGGTCCATCTGTGGTGTTTCGCCAGCTCACGCGCCACGCGGTTGTGCTCGCGCACAAACACCGTGTGGAACAGCGTGAGCAGCGTGTTCTCGTTAACGCGCTCGTCTCCGGCGATGAAGCAGACGCGGCCGGTGCAGTTGGTGGCCGGCTGGGGTATCTCGCGCGGCAGCATATTGCCGGTGCTCGTCTTCAACAGGCCGGCCTTGAAGGCCCGCAGCTCGTGGGCCTTCTCGTCCGTGGTGCCGTACACCTGCGAGCAGTCCATCCAGCCGGTGAGCTCGTTGATCTGCGTGGCTGGCCGCGGCCGACACAGCGGGTCGGGCGCCGGGATGCTGCGCACGAAGTTCATGCAGCGGATCTTGTACTTTTTGTAGAAGGGGTCGGAGGACGGCACGGAGATGGGAAGACACTGCGGATGCTTGAGGCTGGCCGGCATTTCGAGGCCTTTCTTGTCGCAGCACTCGATCGGTGACAGGGTACCGTTTGGATTCTGAAGCTGAAAGTGGGGCGAGATGGACAGGTCGTGGTCCATGAACTGGCCGAAAGTCACCACGGACATGGTGTAGTGCCCGGCGCCGGCGTCGCTATCAGATCTAAGTGTAGCCGCACTGATCTTTCGCGACGTCTCGAGCAGGCCGCCGGCCGCCGACTTGCTGCGGGCTGCGAACACGCCGTCGTCGTACGTGCTGTCGAAGAGGCGCCGCAGCCCGCGGAAGTGACTGCCCCAGCGCGGATGGCGCAGGTTGTTGCACTGGCCGTTGATGGTGCGGTACTTGGCCGAGGTGGAGCAGCGGATCGCCGGCTCCGGAGTACAGTTGGGCACGCGCTGCGCCGGGCGCCTCTCCAGACGGCTGAGCCGCGTCGGAGAAGGTCTCCGTGGGCTCTGCGGCTTGCAGAAGGTGAACGGTCCACGGCCGGCAATCAGTGACCTGCGCCGCTGTGTGACCCGCTGCGGGCGTGGCGATCTGCGCCGCCGCCTCCTTGAAGTTCTATTTGAGTTTCGCCCCGGCTTCCATTTCCTTCTCCGTGACGTTTGTCTCCTTCGCCGTGACCTCCGTCTCCGTCGTCGTGACTTCCGTTTCCTTCGCCGTGACCTCCGTCTCCTTCGCCGTGACCTCCGTCTCCTTCGCCGTGACCTTCGTCTCCTTCGTCGTGATCTTTGAGCTTCCCGTTTCACTCTCCGTCCCGTCATTAGCGGCCTTGGGAGCCTCGTGGGCGAGCGCGGCGACCGTGGGGCCGTGTCGTGAGTCCGCAGTGGCCTTCGGATGTCCTCGACTTCGCAGTGGGGCCGCGATGAGACCTGGCGCTTGACGCGACGGTGGGCAGTCTTACGGCGCAGCTGGAGCTGCTGCAGGGCCCGCAGCGCCTGATGCGCCGTGCTCTGCGCCGCAGAAGAGGTGCGCGAGTTGAGGTGGAACAGATGTGTGCTGCCGCTCGCACGCGGGCTCCGGCGAGGCCGCGGTCTCAGCACGCCTGCCGCCCGCAGGAACGTCGAGGATAGAGGGCGGATGACCGGCCGGCGGCGGCGGCTGCGCACGGTGCTGCGCGACCTTGGCACGAGTGCCTCGGTGCTGAAGATGGGCAGTCGGCGGCGCTCACCGATTAGGAGGCGCTTCGCCACGCCGTCGCCGTAGTCGAGCGCAAACCGGCTGAGGAAGACGCGCGCGCCAGGCGGCAGCTGGGAGCTGCTGAGCAGCCTGCTCTCTTGGCGCCGAGCGCCAGTGGTGGCGCGCCTCTGGGGCGCCGCGCCGCCGCGCCGCCGCCGCTGCCGCCGCCCGGGCAGCGTGAAGGAAGGCGTGGCGTCGGAGGAGTGGTCCGGACAGCAGACGCCCCGCCCGACGGACGGCAGGCGGCAGACCCGCCGCTCCGAGGCCGACGCCTCCAGCTGCGAGACCACCGCCTCCGGGCAGGAGACGGGCTCGACGCAGCGGCAGGGCGCCGCGCGGCCGGCGGCGCACAGCGCCACCAGCGCGGCAAAGCATAGCAGCCAGCGCCGCATGATGAGCGCCGCCGCCGCCGCTGTCACTGGCGGAGCAGCCGCAGCTCCTGTGAGCGCGCCGGCCGGCTCCGGCCGTGTGGGCACGCTGGCATTTGGGCAGGCGGATGCGAATAGCCCCTCCCCAAACGACCAGTGACATTTTGAGTGAAGGCTGGGGCTCTGCGCAGTCCTGGGCAGGCTCGCTGACCGACGGCTCTGCGGAGGACCTCTCAAGGATTTGGTTGGGTTTGACAGAAACGCGGCGCTGTTTGTTCGGACGTTTGCCACTGTCCGTGACTAAGACTGTCACACCGTCTGTGTATATAAGCAGAGGCCTGACAGTGTGTGGCGCAGATCGTGACCATTGTCCTGCTATGCAACCACGGGCTGCGATGGAAATGGGGGCTTCGACCACACAAGTAAAGATCAAATCCCCGTTTTGACATGCGGATGCCATTACGTGCACCTGAAAGCGCAAATATAGCTCACGAGCGGTGCATTCACGTGAAGCTGTACCTGAAGATCACGCATAAAACGTGTGCACTCGTGCCAAGTCCACGCTACGCATCGTGCGTGATTTCACATCGCGTCGTTTGTAACACTGCTTCGAAATAACGGTCACTTTTATCAACTGAGCTCAGTCAATGAAACGACGATGAAAAAAAAACGAAACAATGGATTGTATA